CAGATGCGGTCTGCATGCTGGGGAGTTATAAATTTGGATCCCTTGACCACGGCTGTCCCCTAATCTGTAGGTGCGTATACCCAACACGGCTATTCTGAATCCCCTCTTGATGTCTGGAGGACACTTCAAGCTTTATAGACCCCAAACTGAAATCACGGTCCCAGATGTCACCTCCCAGCTCCATACTTGCAGCATTCCGGTCCCTGGTTTCCAGGTTTCCAGAAGATGCTGCTTTTCACATGCCCTGCACACCTCACCCTGTCATGCTGACACTGCTTTCTGGAAGCATCTCAAGCCTGCTCACTCAGGCTGTTTCCATTGTGCCCAGCCTAGTGCGAGGCACTGCAGTCTTCGACCTGGCCACCTGGTTTTGCTTCGGCCACTATGTGATTTCTGGAAAGTGCTGGTATGATCACGGTATTGCTCTGCTTGAACTCTTCTGGCAGAGGACAAGGATGAACCGCGAAGACGTTATGCTAACTGAAATTAGCCCGACACAAAGGACAAATATATGACCCCACTATGTGAGAGTAAAACAGTCAAATTCATGAAGGCAGGATGAACAGTGGTTTCCTGGAAGAGGGGGAAACGGGGAGTTGTTCAGTGGCTGCAGAGGTTCAGTGTGGGACGCTGAAAACATTCTAGAGAGGCTGAGGTGTAGCCCGGGTGGGAACTGTGTTTGGGGTGAGGGAGGCCTGGGTTCAACTTCCAGCACCACAAAATCATCATCATCATCATCATCATCATCATCTAGAGACGGACGGTGAGAATGGCTTCATGACACAGTGAGCAGACGTACTGAAGGCACACTTAATTGGTTAGAAATTATGTATTTTAGGCTGTGTATGTGTTGCCACCATTTAAAAAATGCCCTCTCAATTGCTTGTTACTGTTATGATAAAGAGCCCAATACTTTTTTTTTCCCCTGTGGTACTGGGGATCGAACTCAGGACCTTGCACTTTTGAGGCAGGAGCGGTGGCACTGAACTAAATAACTGGCCTTCCCGATACTTCTTTTACATGTACTTGTTTTTAAAAATTTTATCGCACATTTTGCAGGTCATAATGATGACATCTGTCATGGGAAGCTGGGGCATGGACATAGCATCTTACTTCTCTTCACTTCCTCCTCCAGAGACCCCAGGAGTTGACAGCATCCAGTTAGGCCTGTATGACCAGGCTGCCCACTCTACTCCTCAGTTTCCGTGCTGGTTACACTGGCTGCCTTGCCGGTTCTTGGTGAGTTAAATTCCTTCTCACGCCAAACCTCCCCCCTCCAGTTCCCTCACCTGGGACAAATGGGTTTTTTCTCTTCACTTTGCCAATGACAACTTCCTTCTTCCCCTCAGTGTACACATCACTTCCACTGTGGTGTCATCCCTGACTCCCTCTGGTGATGGATCCTCTTATTTACACCCAGACAGTGCCTACGAGGAGTGACCAAGAATAAAGAATCGATTACAGTGAGAGGCACTGTGCCCAGACCTGCCTTACTTCTATGACACTTACCCCACCCTTCTTGCCACTTTCTGCAGCAGTTCTGGAAGTCTTCTTTCCTGAGTCTTTATGAGGTGTGATCAAAAATACAGTGAACACTTCTGCTGAGGGCCACGTAACAGGAAGGCAGCTTGTAAAAACATGACGCTGTGTCTTCCTCCACCTTATTCACTGGGTCTGGCACCTGCAACTTCTGGCTCTTCCCCAGTCAGAACGAACATGAAAGGTCAATGTTTTGAATTAATTCCATGACAGAGCAACAAAAGACAGTTTTCAGTCATCTTTTCTTTTTCTGGTTCTGGGGATCGAACTCAGGACAGATTTCATTTATAGTGACTGCCTCATAGAGCGTATCTGCACAGCACCTACCATGTCAACGTGCAGTGCAGAAACATACCAGCATGGTGCCTGGGACAGCACTGCAAGAAGCAAGAGTAGAATCCACAGGTTAGCAACGGACTCTGGTCTGGGACTGAGGAAAGGGAATGGCATGGCTGTGTCTAGATGTCTCCCCAGAGCCTCAGGCAGTCACAGGTGGGCTTTTCTACAGGTGCTGGATCCAGAGTGTATGACGCTGGGACGAATTCACAGTGCAGTGCTGAGCTCCCGGGCCCCTGGGTTATGGGTGTGAGTGCTACCAACCCTAAGAAGCCTGAATAAGACAGAAAGGACAGAAAGAAAGAGCAGTGGTCCTGGCCATGTGGCTCAAAAGTCAACTGATTTATAAAAAGGAAAAGAGTTTTTAAAAATGTTCAAAAATGCCAGCTAAAAAAGTAGAGCTAAAATGCCTTAGGCTGTACTTGATGGGAGAGTCTGGGACCTCAGAAGACCAGAAGGCTGATACACATGCTGGCAGTAAAGACTGGGCTCAGGAGGTTTCTGCTGAGAAAAAGGACGGCATGGCTGTTGGACCCCAGATGATGTGTGTTATGGCTTGGAATAAAGTTTGTCTGAATTTTGCTCATGTCCGGAGACTTCACCTGAGACTGAAATTAAGGGTACCAAACTAATCTGGAAGAAAAAAATTTCAAGGTAGTCTAATGTTGAGGCTGTGGCATGGCTACTGTTGGGGCCTTTTAGTCAAATTTATATTGAGAATCAAGAGCAAAGAGCCCAACAAAATGATTTAAAATGTCTTGAGTTTTGCCAAAAAGGAAGCTCCAGTAAGGCTGTAGACTACAAAGGTAGAGCAGAGATCTTGATCGCTGAGAAGGAACAGGAGAAAAAAGATGGCCTAAGAGACATCACACAAAACAACAGAACTTCACCCTTTCACAAAATGCAAGACTTTGCTTTGAGAAGAGAGCCCCAGAGCTCTCTTCTACATTGTTCTACAATGGCGGCAGCCTAGGGAAGTCGTTCCTTGGGATTTGATTCACAGACTCTGGACCCTGACAGCCAAGAGAGAAGGAAGCCCAGCTATTGCTTCAGCTGGCAGCATACCTTGGTGTCATCCACGTGGTGCTGGTTTTAGGTGCATGCAGAATGCAAGAGCTGTGGAGTCAGGAAGCTTCCACCCAGATTTCAGAAGGCCTAGGAGGCCAGGCAGTGTGCCCAAGTGGGCAATGTGTGAAGCTGTGAATGCAAAGCTGAAGGTGCAGTAGGGACCCCAGAAGTTTAAAAAAGCCAGAAACATAGATTGCCTAAAGAAAACTACAAGGAGAGAACAGAGCCAGCCTGAGAGAGAAGCCAGGAGAGCTACTACAACTACTGGCAGTGCTGAGGGGGCAGAGCCCCAGACACTGCCTCCAGAGAGCTGGGTTGCAGGAAGTGGAACTGCAGGGTTTAATGTTGGCCCTGCTGGATTTTGGTCTTGCTTTTTTTCCCAGTCCTTGCTAGTCTCCTGTTTATAACTTCTTTTGTTGTTTCTTGGTACTGGGGATTGAACTCAGGTCCTTGTGCTTGTGCAGTAGGCGGCGAAACCACTGGGCTAAATCCCCAGCCCCGTTTATAACTTTTAAAATAAAAATGTCTACCTTGCGCTTTTAACTGTTTAAAGTGTTTAACTCTCTTTTCACTTGTACAGGGGTTTGCAGCAAAGAGTTTGCCTTAAATCTCAAGAGACTCTGGACTTAAACTTTTCAGCAATGCTAAAACTCTTAAGATTTCAGCAACTCTTAGGGATAGACTAAATACCTTTTATATAAAAAATATATGAGTCTTTAGCAGACCAGGGGTGTAATGTTATGGCTTATGTCTAGATCTCCCCTCAAAGCCTCATGCAGTCATAGGTGGGGCTTTTTCAGGGGTGGCTGGATCTAGAGCGTGAGGCTGGAATGATTTATGGTGCAATGCTAGGATCGAGGGCGCTAGGATTAAGGGTGTGAGTGCTACCCACCCTAAGCAGCCCGGGTAAGCTTTAAGGGACAGAAAGATCGTCCCTTGCTTGCTTTGCTTTCTGCCTGCCATAATGTTTATCCTCTCCAAAGCCTGTCAGCCACGCCACCCTGGCTTGGAGCCAGCTATGTATTGAAACCTCTACACACTGTGAGCTAAAAAACCCCTTTTCTCCCTTAATTTTGGGTGTCAGATATTTTGTCATGGCAACAAAGAAAGCAACTAAGACAGGGAGCTAATATTCCAGGCGCCTCTGCTTCAGGTCCGTGAGGCGAACTCCCATCACCAGACTAGGAGGAGCTCCTGTGGCCAGCAGCTAAGCGTCCCGGGCAATTCCGTGTGTCCGTGATGAAGCAACTGACGCCCAAGACCCCGCCGATTCTTGCAGAAGTCCTTTAAGAGAGGCTTTACGTTCATTTCATGGTCAAGAAATGGGTGCCCAAGGACGTTAAGTCCCCCAAGATCGCACCATCTTAACAAATGTTATTCCACCCTGCGGAAACACATTTCCCAAGCAGAGGAGACAGATGCCAAATCCAGCGAGATGCTAAACCTAATGGCAGCGGATTTCTCCTTTTCCCTACTTAGTGGTCGACTTTGCTGGCTGTTGCTGGAGGAAGCCTTGGCCCACCCGCCCCTGGGTCGTCCCTGAGCTCCCACTGTGGGCACAGCGCCTGGCCCACCTATCCACCCTCGAGGCCGGGCTCCAGGGCCGTGCCGTCAGACTCAGGCCCCAGCGGCCTCCTGCCTGCCCCTGGCCGACTTTCAGTTTTGTAAGCATAAAATCGGAAAAGGAGAAACCCGCTTTCAGGGCTGGCAACTCCGCGTCCGCGAACCCCGTTCTGTGTCCCGTGCCCGGCCTCGCCTCAGCCCAGCGGCGGCGCGCTCGTCCCGGGCCCTCGGAGGCTGCGCGCGAGCCCGGGGCTCCTCTCCGGCGCGGACGCCCGGCTCTGGCGGCAGACGAGTCACGCGGTCCGGCGAAGGCGCACAGCCGCCCGGAACAGGTCCCCGGAAGGCAGTGCTCACGGCACACCGCGCACAGCCTGCCGGAAACCGGGCCGCGCGGTCCAGCCCCGCGCGGCCCGGGCCGGGATTGGGCGCCTCGCCGCTCGCCCACATTGGTCCGCGAGGGGCCGCGGCGGCTCCGCCCCTGGGCGGCCGCTGGTCCCGCGCCCTGCGTCTTTAAGGCCGAGGCCGCGCGCCCGCCGAGCCCCGATCGTCCCGGCCCGCGCGGCGCCGCCACCATGGCGCGGGTGGTGACAGTGCAAACCCAGGCTTACCCCGACCAGCGGCCCGGCACCAGCGGGCTGCGGAAGCGCGTGCAGGTGTTCCGGAGCCGCGCGCACTACGCCGAGAACTTCATCCAGAGCATCCTGGCCACCGTGGAGCCGGCGCTGCGGCCCGAGGCCACGCTGGTGGTGGGCGGCGACGGCCGCTTCTACATGGCCGAGGCGATCCAGCTCATCGCGCGCATCGCCGCGGCCAACGGGGTGAGGACGCGGGCGGGCGGCCACTCCCGCGCGGTGCAGTGCAACGCGATCGCGACCCGAGCTGCTCGCCGCGCCCCCGGGGCCGGCACGGCCTGCCCCCCCGCCGGGTCCCCGCGCCGCCTCGGCCCCACACGTGCAGCTCTGGTGTGCCCGCCCGGGGAAAGGTCACGGCTGGCGCCTGCTGCTCCCGGCGCCCGGCTGGCTCGGGGCCCGCCCCTCTCGGCTCGCTGCATGCCAGGGCACAGGTCCCAAGGGCGCGGCCCGAGGGCCCCGAAGCTGGACCCGAGTCCGAGTCCTTGTGAAATCGGAAACAAACCCAAGGGGCCCTTGCGCAAGCGGCCGAGCGCGGGGGCCTGGAAACGAGTGCAACACTCGGCTCCGCCCCCGGCCAGTCGGCGTTAACCGGCCTAAAGGGTCAGGTCCTGCAGAGGCGAAGTCAAAGAGGCTTTTGGTAAATCGGAAAAACGAAAATGTGGATTTGTAAAATTGATAAATGGGGGCTGCTGAGTCCCTCACTTGCTCTTAGAAAACATTTTCTAAGGAGTTCTTCTAAAGAGTGGGTTTTCTTTATATTTTAAAAGTAAGGCTGAGTGGTACCCAACTCTTCTGGCACCCTTTCTCTTCAGCGGCGTTTTTATTCAGCAGGCAGGCGGATGATCAGCGGAGTGGTGCCCCGGGTCTCCTGGCAGCCCTGAAGGGCAGATGCTGTTTTGGGCACTGCCCCATGGCCGGTGAAGGGCACGATTTTACTGCTGGGCTGGTGTAGTTGGGGGGTGCAGACCTTGCCCAGCAGGGGCCAGGCCCTAGGTTCCATCCCCAGCACAAAAATAAACCAGTCATTTCCAGGAACTGCAATGGCAGCCCTGAGAAGCCAGCCCAGACCTGTCGATCCCAAGAACGGAGCAGCTTCTGAGAGTGGAAGGACCCTGAACCCAACACTGTCTCCTGGTCCCTAGAATCTAAACTGGGCCCAGCATCAGTGACGGGAGTTTGGATTTGTTTTCTTGATATGCCTGTGTTTTCGGACAACTGCGGGTTTCCATGAGAGAAGAACAAACAATAGGTGGGTCCCAGTGGACCCCGCTTCTGTGACCGCTGAACCTGCCCTCCATGCAGTCGCTCAGTAGATACCGCTGACGTCACTTCCTGTGGTGTAGGCTCTGTAGTGTGACTGTGAACAGAGGGACCGTTCACACACGAGACTTGTCCTGCAGGAGCTCCCAGCATAGTGGGTGTCTCGGGGTCCAGAGGGAAATCTGTGTACTTGGAGGAGAGAGAGTGGAAAGGAAGGAGTTACGTAGTTAAGACTGCAGCAGGTGCTCCTGTGGCTGCTCACCCTGTAGCTGCTGCCCCCTCCGGACTCAGAGTCCATGTCTCCTCCCCAGCTCTTGCAGACTGGCGGCTGCCGCCTCCGCCCCTCCAATGGCAGTGCTCCTGCCAAGGTTGCTAAACCCTGGGGCACTCTTAAGCCTTACTCTAACCTTTCTCCTGCACTTCGCAACGCAGACTTTGTGCTGTTGACTGATCTCACTCCCTTGCCCCATGGGCTCCTGATCCTGCTCACCTGCTTCTGGTTCCTTTGTGGATTGCGTGCTGATCTCGCCCTTCTGTCCTCAGCTTACCGTCAGACTGTTTTCGTGCTTGCTGCCCTCCTGGGGTTGGAATTAGCTGCTCCTTCTCTTCGGTGTGATCTCTCGAGGTGGCACATTCCCGACACCCCCCTTTCGCTCCTCTGCCTGAGTGCTTTCCATGGTTACGGTGGACAGGTGACATTGTCTGTCCACATCTCAGGCTCCACCCGGGACTGAGCTGCTGGGCCTTGTCCCTGATACCCTGCAGGATGGGGGCCCGTGCCAGGACCCCTGCAGACACCAAATTCCTTGAATGCTCGAGCCCCTCCTGAGCCACTGGTCGTGTTTACACGTAACCACACACCCTCCAGGACATGCTGTGTGTCTCATGATTCGCCATACAGTATAAATGCTCCGCAAGTGCTCCTTAGATGTTATTTGAATTATTCTTTATTGTTCTTGTTACTCTTGTTACTTTTTCTGGATGTTTTCAGCCTGTGGTTGGTTGAATCCACGGGTTTGGAAGCTGAGTCACCTTGTAGTCCAGGATCTAACTGGGCACCACTATGGAGTTGACGGCCCATGAGTGCAGTCTCGCCAAACACTCATCGTGTGCTTGCTTTGTGTCTGAGCCTGTGCCTGGGATGCAAAGTATTCCTGCATCAGGAAAGGTGGCCGAGAGGGCAGGTAAAAGGATAGCTGATGGCCCGGCCTGTGCTGGTGTGACCAGGTGGGGAGGCCCAGAGAGGGCCGTCCGTCCATCCTTCCATCCATCTGTCTGTCTGTGGGGGGCAAGTGAGTTTGGGGCTCACAGAGGGAAGGTGTAGAACCGCGTCTCGGGACCAGCGGGAGTCCCCACTGCAAATGGGTCAGGCTCTTCTCTCCGGCCAGTTGTTTAACTTCTGCTCTGTTTTCCTTCATCCCTGAGGGTTGGGATGACATGACAGTATGGGCTGGGCCAGAGAGTCTGCTAGGGGGGCTTGGAAACACTGAAAAGCACCCACCCCCATCCCTGGAAGCTGTTGCGGTGACAGAGGAGTGAGGAGAGAGCTGGTCGGGCAAGATGGACCTTTAGCCTGATAGACATCAGCACTGTCTCCCCTCCCAGGCACCCTCAGTGGCCAATGCAGGGTCCCCCGGCGGTCAGAACTCGTTGGGTGCATGCCACAGAATGTACTGGATTGCAGGGGGAAGGAACTTGTTGGCCTGAGCTACTGGAAAGTGGGAGGGCGAGGAGCAGACTTCTTGCTTCACAGGGCCGGGGGCCAGTGGGGCTCTGTGAGCCCCATGACTGGCAGGGAGCCGGGAGCTCAGAGTCTGATGTAGTGAGCGTGCGGATGTTTGAAGGACCGTTTATCCCTCTCCTGATCAAGGTAAAGTAGATGCCCGCAGAGCAGCAGAGGTGTCATCAGTTCCCAAAGGTTCTTTATTTTTTTTTTGGTGCTGGGATCAAACTCAGGACCTTGTGCTTTCGAGGCAGGCGGGCACCACTGAGCTAAATTCCCAACCTGTGCTCTTCAACTAGACTTTGTGAACCTGTGGATCCCTTTGGAGTACTCTTAAGTGAATAAAATAAAATACAGAAGAGTACGATGAAATAGATTGTGTAGAAATACAATTATTAAAGTATTACAAAACCCAAGTTGTGACGGAGCAAGACATGTGTGTCCTTTTTCTTGCTGTATGAAATGACAGATGCTATGGGGGTCAGGTGCCCCCGACTTCAGCACCGCGACGCAGGTGGGAGAGGTGCCCACCCTGAGACGTCCGTCCATTTCTGCTGATGAACAAGTTCTAGGTAGGAGTAGCAACAGTGCCGTACTTCGCTGCCTGGAAATGATAAATTCCAGTAGAGGTTGGGGAAAAGGAAGACGTTCTGTTGTTCACATCCCAGGATCCTTTGAATTCTACCAGACCCCTTAGGAAGTGGGGAGCGTGGCTGAAGCATCCTGGCTTAAGAGCCCTGTGCTGACCAGTGACCCCCTCAAAGTGGGTGCTTCACCAGAGTGGGCCTCAGACACAGGGCCTGAAAACATTCTCAGACCACCCCAGGGGGCTTTGAGACCCCTGCCTCACAGTGGAGGAACTGTCCTTTTAAAATTTATTTTGAGACAGGCTCTAACTCTGTAGCCCAGGCTGGCCTTGGACTCACAAATGCACTAAAGACTTAAAAGCATTCTCCCTGTTCAAACTAAATCTTCTTTTTGGTAAAGAGGACTGATAGGGAGGAGAGCCTGGTGCATCCCTACTGGGTTCCTACGATGTGATGTTCTCGGTGCTAGGGGCTCAGCAGAGAATGGACAGGGTCTGCTCGTGGTGCTCAGGGGCTGAAGCTGAGGGAGACAGGTGGTAAATGCAACTGTCAGGTGACAACAGATGCTTGGAAGAAAAATCAAAAGTGTGAACATGTTAGGTGGGCTGCTCTTTTCTGTGCAGTTGTTGGGAAAGCTTGCAAGAGCAAAGCAGGGGAAGGAGAGACCTGGGGAATGGGAGGGAGGGAACACAGCTCACCATGTAACAGGGTACCGTGGGGCTCCAGGTAAACAGGTGGTGTAACTTCATTGCATGAAGGGCCCCAGGGTACCATGAAGCTTAGCAGATAGTGTAACACAAGTTCACTTTCCTGTAGATTTGTGTCAGGATGTTAAAAGGCATGATCAGCACTGATCAGGACTTAGAGAAAGCCTTTCTCACCTGCTCTGATGGGTCTACTTGTGGGTCTCAAATTAAACGATAGAAGACAGATTAGCAGCGTAGGCCGCTGTGGAGGCTCACGGAGAAATGACTCGAGGGCTTTGCAGTGTAGGCTTAGTCATCGTAATAAGCATCATCATTTTAAGATTCTTATATGATAGTCTGCACATTGTATAATTATATATAATATAATTATGTAACCTTTTAGTATATAATCTCACCTATTGTATAATTTTAAGGTTATGTAATATATATTACCCAGTGCGGAAGATTGTTGTATTTTAGATTAGATGAAATCACTGTGTAACTAACTAAGATTAAGGTAATGGCGCTGGGAGGCAAGAAGAGTGCTCGGTGGAAAACAGGACTTTAGGAACAGCCAGTGGGCACTCAGGCCAGGAGGCAGCTGGGGCGGCAGTTCCGAGACAGTGACTGCTTAGGTACGGGCCAAGAGCCGCCCCTGGGTCATGAGACCCCCAGAGGGCACTGGTGGCTGTTGAGCTCTCAGGGGACGTTGTGCTGCTACGACAGATGAGGGGCTGGGCAGAGCCTGCTCTCAAGCTTCAGCTTGAAATAATTTTGATGCCTCAGTACTGTATTCTAGGCCCCTTCAGACAGTGGAAGGTTTTGAGGGGAGTTTTGGGGGTTGGGGGTCAAGCCCAGGCCTCACAGATGCCAGGTGAGCACTCTGCCCCTGGCCGTGGCCAGCTGGCCCTGCGAGGGACTGGAGCAGGT